CTAATATATATAGAAAAAATTAGCCAGGCATGGTGGTGCATGCCTGTAGTCCCAGCTACTTGGGAGGCTGAGGGAGCAGGATTGTTCGAGCCCAGGAGTTTGAGGTTGCTGTGAGCTAGGCTGATGCCCTCGGCACTCACTCTAGCCTGGGCAACAAAGTGAGACTCTGTCTCAAAATAAATAAATAAATAAAAGATTGTATAGCCAGATTATTCTATTTTAGCCCAAATGGCTAGATTACATGTTTTCTTCTGCCTTTGTCACACTGAAAGTCAGAAACTTGTTTCAAAATAAGAAATTTGAAACTTGTCTAGAAATGGTTTTGAGTATAATTTTGGCATGGCCAAAATAATTTTACTAAATAATAATAAACAATTTCAAGGCACTTTGCTGTAAATTTTTTACATGTAAAAACTCATTTAATTCTCATAACACCTGAAGAATTAAGTAGTAAGTCACACTCATTTTACAGATGAGCAAGTCACACTCATTTTGCAGATGTAGTTAAGTCACACTTAACTAAGGCATGGTGGTTAAGATACTTGTCTAAAGTTACAGAGCTATAATCTGGTGGAGTAAGGATTCAAACTCAGGCCTTTTGGTTTTAAGTACATGTTTCTATCTTCTTAGCTCTATGTCCCACACTCAGCCAACACTGGTATTTTTTTGCTAATCTAATCTAATTTCAAACTTTGATTATTAATCTTCTTCCTACTTTGCTGTTGAATTTCTAGGAGAAAAATAAGTACACAGTCTAAAAATGCTCATGTTTAAAAGATGTTGAATTAGGCTGCATTTTATATCTTTGTCCTAATGTAAATCTTAATGAAATGTTTTCCTTTACTTTAGGCACTGATATCTTGTTTTCATCATCATTAGAGCTTCAAAAAACCTTCAGATTTAATTTGGTAATGTTCATGTTTCTTATCAATCATTTCATCACATATAGTCTCAAATAATATATGTCCAAAACTTTTGATTTATCTGGAGATATTCCTGTGTCCATTTTTTATCTCACATAAAAAAATTATCATTCTATTTTGTGGTATAATGAAGACTTTACAACTTTTGACTGCTCTGAGCCTGGATATCTAAGGAGATTTGAGAAAATTAAATTATTGAAAATATAATAAAAACATTGCAACATTAGTGATCGCATGAGTGAGCCATGGTTTAAATGTATGTTGATACCAAATGTTGGTGGAAGTTGGTATATTAAATTGATGAGAGAATTAATACAATAGGAACTTGTCAATGAAAAAGAAGTCAAACTCCATAAAATAATTTAAAGAGGTTTATTCTGAGCCAAGTTTGAGGACTATAGCCTTGAGCCACACCCTAGAAGCCTTGAACAAGTGGACTTGCTGTGGCTGGGTTACAGTTTGGTTTTATACATTTCAGGGAGATAGGAATTACATGTAAAGTCATAAATCAATACATAGAAGGCATACATTGGTTTGACCTGAAAAGGGAAACGGTGAGACATCTCATGGGGACGAGGGCTTACAGGTTATAGGTGAGTTAAAAGATTCTTTGATTCGTATGTCAAAGAAATGAAGCTTTGTCTGAAGGCCTGGAATGTTTTAAGTTAAGATAAGGAAGTCTGTTAATCAGAGACAAACCACCGGCCATATACCCAGACTCAAGTGATTTTTTTTTTATGTAAATTGAAAACCTACAGGCTTGTCTTGTATAACCTTTGGCCTGTTAAGGAGTTATTATACGAAGAATATCTCCAAGAAGGGAGGGGGCATGATGAGGTATGTCTGACCTCCCTTCTCATGACCAATAACTAAGTTTTAGGGTTTCCCTTTGGACAAGAGGGGATCCATTAAGTCAACTGGGGGGATCTTAAGATTTTATTTTAGTTCACAAGCCAAATGAATGTTTGCCAAATATAGTGGATAGCTTTTGGCTTCCTATTGCTACTCTGGAGTCATTTAATCTTTCAATTGAATACATTGGAATAGGAAGTAGGGATAAGTAGGAAAGACATGAAAGATATGAGAAATATTTCCCCATTTTTTATCAGTATATTCCATCCTGTCTCCAGATGTTCACAACAATGTAAAGGCCATGCCAGCAATATTAACTAAGAACATTAGTTTCAAATTGCCTATAGCATCCTGTATCTATGGATGGTCTCAAGAAAAACAGTATTGGCAATGTAGATGGATCCATATCTTAACAGAAAAATCTAAATGATACTTTAATAAGGAGTGGAATTGAATTACCCTGGGGTGCTCTTGTGAAATAATAACCACAGATCAAGCCTTTCTCCCTTCCTCTGAGGCAAGCAGGAGTTGTACCTCTTTGGTGAACAAAACAGCTGCACTAGCTTTTTAAATACCAATACAATTAGCATAAAGCACTATAACAGAGCAAAATGGTCACAGCCAAAAAGCCACCTGCAAACATTTAAAATTCAAAGAGAGAATATTGTCATTTAATCATAGAGACAGTCGCATTTAACAATGACATTTTTAAAAATATTACTAAGAAGGAAGTGTGGCTGATTTGTAAAAGGAAAACAAAAAATACCATATCCACAGTCAGAAAGAATCTTCACAGGAACACATGGCACAGAGTGGAAAGCCAGTGTAAGCCCTCCTAACCATCCAATGTGGACTGTTCACCTGAGGTATTTATTTGTTCTGGGTTGCTCCTTGGATTTACATAAAATAAAACATACTTCTCTTCTCTCATATGCCTGTTTATTTCCTCATCTTTCCTTTCTGCTCATTAAGTCTATCTAACTTCAATTTCTCACTTGTTTGTATCAGTTGTTGTTTAAATCATGTCTCTAAAAAAGATATATCTTAAGTCCTAACTCCCAGTACTGAGAATGTGAACTTATTTGGAAATAGGGTCATTGAAATTGTAATGAAGTAAAGATAAGGTCATACTAGATTGAGGAGGGCCTTAAATCTTTATGTCCTTCTCCTAGTGTCCTTTTAAGAAGAGACATGGAATAGGTACTGTGGCTCACAGATGTAATCTCAGAACTTTGGGAGGCCAAGGCAAGAGGACTGCTTGAGGTCAGCCAGGAGTTCAAGACCAGCCTGGGCAACATAGCAAGACCCTATCTCTAGAAAAAAAAATCAGCTGTGTATGGTGGCATGTATCTGTAGGCCCAGCTACTTGGGAGGCTGAGGGGGAAAGAAGAGATGCAGAGAAGGGGGAAAGAAGCCCATGTGATGTTGGAAGCAAAAATTAGAGTCATGTATCTACAATCACACATCTACAATTGTCAGCAAGTATTGCTGATATTAACAAAAGACTATGAGATCCACAGAGGAGGGGAAAAATACTTTATTTTCAGAGGGAGAAACAAATTTAGTGTCCGGGAAGCACAGGTTTCAGGGACACTGGAAAGTGCAAGCTCTGCCGAAGGGAGGTGGGAGCTGGTATATATGCATTACAAAGTCAGTCTTTCATATTGAGCAGGGTTGGGGAAATTCAATGACTATTCGTGAAGGGAGTCAGGTGCTTGTGCAGTGCATAAATATATATATAGCATACATTCCATGTTCACTTTGGGGTGGCGTTTTAGCATTAAAATGAGGTAGAATTTGGTTCTTTACATCAAGAGGAAAACTTTTCATTCTTGAAGGTACTTTATAGTAACTATAGCATTCACAGATGACAATTATTTTCATTCAGTATTTGATAAATGTTACTTCCCACTGACCAACATAGTTTCAGATAAGAAATCTGCTGTCACTCAAATTGTTGTAATGTGTCATTTTTCTTGGCTGCTCTCAAGGTTGTTTCCTTTGTTTCTAGTTTTCAGAAGATATGTCTTGGTTTAAATTTCTTTGCAATTGTTTTTTTCTATTTAAACTTTGCTCAGTATCTTCAATCTGTAAGTTTATGTCTTCCATCAAATCAGGGAAGATTTTAGGCATTATTTCTTTAAGTAATTTTAGTCTCACTCTTTCTTCTACTTCTGGGACTCAGATGACACAAAAATTAGGTCATTTCTTATTTATTGTGTCTTAAGTCACTAAGACATTGTTCATTTATTTTCAGTCTACTTTCTCCTTTTTGGTCAGAATAGACAAGCTATATTGATCTGCACTTAAGTTATTAATTTTATCCTTTGTCATTTCCACTCTATTATTGAAGCTTTCCAGCAAGTTTTCTATTTCTGTTATTGCATTTTTAATTCAATAATTTCCATTTAGTATTTTTTATAACTTCTATTTATTTGCTGAGATATTCTAGTTTTTAAAAATGTATATGAAGAAAATCTATAATTGGTTGTTGAAGCATTTTTCAGTTGGCGGCTTCATTTTTGGCAGGTAATTCCAACATCTGATTTATCTTGGTATTGGCATCTGTTTACTTTCTTTTCTTGTTCCAGTTGTGATTTTCTTCTTTCCTGGATACTTCCTTCTGTATCCTGGACATTGTAGGTATTATATTAGGAGACTCTGGGTCTTATAAATCTTCTTTTTTTAGCAGGCAGTCTCCTGTAAAGGTGTAGTATGAGGTCCAGATGTGTGTGTATGTTCAGCTGCCTGCTGGACTTCTCGACATTACCTGTACAAAAGTGGAGCGTTTACTCACACTTTCTCATTGCAGAAAAGAGATGAAAGTTCAGTAAGCCCTTGCCTCTTCTGACACTTTCCCAGTGAATGTGTCACACTGATTTTTACTTTTTTGTTAATTTTTACTCTTTTGTTGACTCTGTAAGCTCTTATCCTCACTGGGCCCCTTGAACACCAGAGATAAAGGAAGTAGAGAGTTGACACAATGTTTTGTAGCTACAGGGTAGAAATGGAAGCTTAGCTCCATGCTGGGCTTCATGATACCCTATGAGAAGAGAACAGAGTATCAACTAGCTGACCTCCCACCACCTCATTCCACCTCATTGGTGGTGAGTAGGGGTCGAGGTCTTGCTCCCCATTGTGCTACACTGATTCAGGAGAGAGCAGTAAAACCTCATAGTGCCCAGCTCTGCCTCATACCATCTCAGTAAGTCTTGCTTTTGCCAGGTAGGAGTGGAGAGTCTGCTCACTGCTGGATATCACTGATACCATCTGGTATGAGGAGAATGGTAACACCACCTGCTGCTGACTGTTGGAGGATAGAAGATCAGTTCCATGTTAAGTCTTACATATACTACCTTGGCAGGGAAACTGAAGTATTCCTGGCTTCCACTGAATGAGTAATAGATCAGATCCCCACTAGCCTCTCTGATACTAATCCTACAGGGGAATCCACATACTGCTTGCATCTTCCAGGCAGGGGATAGGTGATGAGCTCTTGCTGTCATCCCTGCAAACATGACCAGGCTAGGGAATCAGAGTGCTTCCACCTGATTCTGTGGTACAGTGTGCAGTGTTAGAGTAGACAATCAGCTTGTTCTTTACCCCACTAAATTTGAGGGGAAGAGGTATAACTTTTCCACTGTTTCATTTGTTTTGGTCTGGAGTAGGACAGCCATCCCCCAAAATATTCTTGTTCTTAGGCCATCTATTTCCCAGAAATTTGGCTAGAAAAACTTTTTTGTTGTTGGTTTTTGTTTGTGCTTGTTGGCAGTTCTGCATAGCCCCAATCTGGGATATGTGTAGGTGATAAGAAAACCAAGGTTTTATGGACTGAATTTTGTGTCCCCTCCAAATTCATTTGTTGAAGTTCTAACCCCTAATGTAACTGTATTTGGAGATAGAGCCTTTAAGGAGGCGACTGAGGTTAAATGAGGTAATAATAGTAAAGCCCTAATTCTAAAAGTCTGGTCTCCTTATAAGAAGAGGAAGAGGCACTAAAATGTTCGTTCTCTCTCTCTCTCTCTCTCTCTCTCTCTCTCTCTCTCTCTCTCTCTCTCTCTCTCTCTCCAAGCACACAAGGAAAAGATCATGAGAGAACACAATATGAAAGTAACCATCTGCAAGACAAGGAAAGAGGCCTCTGGAGAAATCAAATCTGCTAACACCTTGATCTGAGACTTCTAGCCTCCAGAACTGTGAGAAAATAAATTTCTATTCTTTAAGCTACCCAGTTTGTGGTATTTTTTGTGATAGCCTGAGCAGACTAATACACTAGGGAACTCACTGCCATGTTATTTTTCAAGCCCCAAGGTCCCTAGGCAGCTCACCTTGTTTCCACATTTCAGAGTCTTATTATGCTTGCTTGTTGTGTTATATTCAGGGCTTTAGTTGTAAAAGGGAGGACCTGGACAGAGGCGGATCTTCTCCATCTTGTGTGGCACTGAAAGTCTCCTGCCCTATAACTTCAGCGCAAACAATAACAGTTCACCAAGCAGAGTAGAAATTAACAATATTATGTAAAACCTTTCCAAATGATATGGATAAAATAAACAGGTTGACAATAGATATGTGCCAGGATTAGATATCTTTTCTGTGAGCCTCCTCTTTCAATTTCTATACCCTTAGCATGAATGTGAATAAAGTAAGCATCCAATTCTATCTGCACTTCATTGTTCTTATCTCTGTTAGTTTATTCTCTAAATAATATGTCCACTTAGAGACCCTAACCAGCTTAAATACCTGGACTTGTTTCTTCTTTGTTAATTCATGCATCCCAGATGATTCAGCTTGCTTTAAGAAACAAAGACCTGTCTGTACCTTTGTTATATATCTATATAGATACAGCACTGTAAGCCTCACACTTGCTCTGTATGCATAGTAATTCCAGCTTATTGCTGTCAATTTCTACAAGGATTAAAAAAATAATAGTAATGTTTTGGGTCTTTTTAAAAATCAAATATCTCCATTATCCACAAGACACTTTAAATGTGCAAATAATAGACCATTATGGGATAGAAGGTGCTTCCTGTGGCTTGTTACTGAGGATTGCCCCTTTTCCTCAACCCTGGATATTGTAGTCTCTGAATGTGGGGGCCCAGAAGCATATCTTCCTGGTCTCCTATTATATTGCTCTATAAGTAATTGTAAGGAGTAAGCAGCCCCCAAAGTGCTACCAACATCTATGGGGTGACAACAAAGGAAGCTCTGGGCTGCCCCCTTGTAGTTTAATCACATCTGAGAAGAAAATGAGCCCCCAGCTTCTTCTGCTTCTGAATGCGGACTTTCCTTGCACTTCCAACATGCCTTATTGTCCTCATTATTTTGATAATATTTTGAGTGCTCAGCTCCCCAAAACAGTTTTTCCAATTGATGGTGAGACTATAGAAGTGATTCTTAACCTCTATCTCCCCCAAGTTCATGTTCTTTCTGTTCTCCCTAAAGATAACTCAGAGTGGCCAAAATGTCATGGCACTGTGATTTTTTTAACATCTTGTGTTGAACTGGAAGTGTATAGCAGACTTGCCATAGACCTGACAATATTTGTTGCTTAGAAGTACTTTATAAACACTTTTTAGATTCACACTAAGTGGATATTATTGTTATAATTAAAAACCTAAGTGTTAGTTTCTTAAACTAAATTATAGAATTATAAAAAGTATAAGTCCCTATTCTTCATCAAATAGAATGCAGAATTATAAAAACCCAAGTAAATCACCTCAAGTCATCTAGGCTTAATAGTAAAGTCCAAACAGCAATGCTATCGTAATAAGAAATCTGAAATACTTTCTAGCTGTAAAAGAATATTTACACTTTGAACTATATTTAGAGATGAAAATTGACTCTTTCCCAGCTATAGTCAAAGAATCTATTAATTAAAGACAAAACTGGTTTAATTTTGGATAATCAACCAAGCCACAAAGCCATCTAATTTACCAAACTCTAGAGAGCAGTTTTTCAAAGATTATATTCCCTCACCTTATTTGTATATATCAGAGTCATGCTAGAAGGCTAAGCTAGCAAGGGTGCAGGAGGTCATATAATCTAAATCTCATTTGGAGATGAGAAAATCGATACTCAGAGAAGGTAAGTGGCTTATCCAAGGTTGCAAAACCAATTGACCCGGAACTAAAATTCAGATCTCTTAACTCCCAAACAAATGATATTTTTATTATATCAGTGGTTCTCTTATTTTAGCTGGTCTACAAGAATCACTTAGAGGGCATGTTAAAATGCAGACTGCTGTGTCCCACTCTCAAAGATTCTGATTCAGTTGCTTGCAGTGGGACCCAAGAATTTGTATTTTATACCAGATCCCATATAGCTGCTGATGCTGCTGGTCTTGGAAACCACTTTTTGAAAACATCATTGCAGCATTTTTCTCTTATATTTTTAGACTATTTTATTTTTAAAGTACTTCTTTTAGAACTTTATATTTTGGAGAATTGTGAAAATACACAGAAGTGTACAAGGAATTCTCACAAATCTATCAAGCACCAAACAGTCCAACAATTGCCAATCTAAAGGACCTCTAAACATACCACCTTTTTCTGTGCTTTTCTGAGGGTACAGGAACTCTCATAAGTTCCAAAAGTTTAATATAAATGTTTTGTATTATTGCCCTAGTCATTTTCAGTTTGCAGTTATTTAATATATACTGTCTTTACAACTTTATGAAAAGGTGGATACAGTGGTTACCAGCTTCCATATCTCAGTGAAAGAAATGGAGACTCAGATGGCTATTAATTAGCTTACCCAAAACTCAAATTGAAGTTTGACTCCAGAATTCATCTTTACAGGTATTATTACACAATTTCTTCAATTAAAGTCAAATGCATATGGCATTTAATGTAAAACGACTTCACTAGCTTCACTTATTTCTATATGTGTAGCCAGTAATGGTAACACAACCATAGCACTTGTAGGAAAGTGTACAATCATTAATGGCCCAGGAATATGCAGACTTCCGGATGGGGTGGAGATGGTTTCATTTACAGTCAAACTCTCAATGCAGTTAGTTGTTATAAAGATTTAGATTCCACCACCTGACTTCAATATTTATGCCAAAGTATGAGGAGTTCTTCCTTCTGTTTAGTACCTGAGTCTCCTTAGGATTCTGTCTCTTGCTTTCAGAAAGGTAGATAGCAGTTGTTATTTATGTGCCTCCAACAAATTGTAAAGCTTAATGAACTATCATTAGCTTTACATATGACTGTTTATTTATAGTAGCATATGTCTCTAAATAGTTCTGTATGATATGCATATATTCATACTCATATTCATATACATTATGAGAAATTCATATGCAATTATGATTCAATATGCAAAGTCATAAAACACCTATGTGTGTCAAATAAAATGCTACTGACCATGTGTTATAAAGTCTTATCTTAATCTCCTAATCCATGTATTGTTCTAACAGTTATCACTGTTGTTCTAACAGTTATCACTAATTAGACAACTAATTAGTCAGTGCTATCACATGCCTCTCTGTGGCAAACATCATGCTCTGGACATTTTATGATTAACACAGAACAAAATCAAAGATCAGAGAAGCTCTATTAAAATAAAGCTTAGCAAGCAGTTAACAGTACTTTCTTACCACTGACCTATGGATTTGTTATGTGATTCTGATTTCTTCTCTTCAAGATTATTAATTTGGAATGATAGTGAATGGTTTTAGGGAATTTTGTGAAATGACAGCTCTTTTTACCCAAGATCTATGAAAGCAAATGAAAACATCTAATTTATATTTTTTAAATTACAAGAGTTAACTTCCAATTCAAATTGCTGATTAGTATTGGAAAAGGTGCCTCATGTCTTTAGTCAACAGAAAATGCAAGTTCAAACCTCAATAAGGTATAACAAGACCACTATAAGAATAAAAGGACTGACAACACCACGTGTTGACAAGGGTATAGAGTAACTGTAACTCCCACACATTACTTGTCGGAAGGTAGATTTGTAAGACTACTCTGGTAGTCTCTTTGACACCAAATAGCAGAGCCAAAAACAAATATTAATACCCTAGCATCCAGCAATTCTATTCATGGCTATATACATAACAGAAATGTGTACACATGAGCGGCAAGACATATTCACAAGAATGATCTTGGAAGTTTTATATATAATGGCCAAAATCTTGGAACAACATAAATGTCCATCCACAAGTGAAGCAATAAATATATGTATTATGTCCATAGAATGGTATATAATTCAGCAATAAAAAGAATTAACCACCAATATATGCAAAAATATTAATGCATCACATAGGCAAAATATTGTGTGAAAGAAAGCCAAACTAAAAAGAGGACAAACTATGATTCCATTTACATAGAGTTCAAAGCAGCCAAAACTATTCCATAATGATAGCATTTGAAATTGTCATTACCTTCTGGGGAGTATTAACAAAAACAGAACACAAAGAAGCTTTCAGGATAGCTGGATATGTTCTATATTTTGATCTGGGACACCTGTAAAAATTTATTGAGATTTGTACTTGAGATTTGTTTACTTACTAAAATATTTTTACAAAGATGTAAGATTATTTATTTGAATATTGTAGAAATATCCCATTGAAGTAACATCTCTGAACTGGCTGATTTCCAAGTAACCTTTCTGAGTCACCAAGTCATATTTCTGGAGGCTCTACATGAGTAATATAATTTAAATGGTCATTTCAGGAGCAAGTGATGCTGAAATGTAGATTTAGTACCAACTCTTTTTATTACAAAATTTGACTTAGTCATTTTCTTTTCTTAAACACAGAAGTTAACAACTTAAAAACAATTTACTATATATATATATACATATACATATATATATATCCACTATAATTTACATAACTCCTTGTAAGCTATTGTTTAAGTAACTATTAAAATGTTTCCATTCTTCAAGA